ATTTTTCAACCTCATCCAATATTAGAAACAAGCTAAAGAAAATTACAGATTATAGTTCTTTTTTACTATTATTTATTAAAAAATTTCTTATAAGAAATAGATATTTTAAAGAAAGTTACATTTTAAATTAATAATTCTATTCCACGATTCAAGTTAAATATATTATAAAAAAACTTAATATAAGTTAAAAAAAATTTTGTAATACGAGCAGTAATTTTTATATAAGCCAAAGTTAAAATAATATATACACACACATGTGGACAAATGTTTCTTATATTGATGATTATCTACATTATTTAAAAAATTGTTAAAACAATTTATTTTAAGAAAATTAAATATCAATAAGAAGCTACCTATGAGAAATCTGAATAACATTAGAAATAAAAATAAATTAGTAATTTCTATTTTTAGATTTTAAAATTGAAATGGTGCGAATTCAAAAATGATGAAATAAGTTCATGTAATCTCTTAGCAAAGACTATGGCAATTCCATTTATAAGAAAAGACGATATAAAGCCTGCGATAAAGAAAATAAGAAAAGATGGAAAATCTCAAAATTCTACGAAAATCAATGAATTCACATATTTTTTGAAAAACGAATTCTCTGATGTCGAAAACATTTTAAGCATGATTGATACGCACGAAGAGCGAACAAATAACGTATTTGAAATATGTTTACTACGTTTGCAGAAAAAATTGTGGTCAACAAAGACCAAATGTCAATGGAAATTACTTGGTGAGTTACTCATTTTTTTCTTTTTGAGTGACACATTCTTCTTATTGTGTTAGTCAGACTTTGTAATCAATATTTTTTTAATCAAGTTAAATTAAATTATTACATTAAAGTAAATATTACATATTTCAATGCTCACACAATATTTATAAAAAATTTCAAAATTAAAAACTAAGAGAGTGGAAGCACTCAAGAGCGCCAAGCTATATTCTCTCTAAATCTGAATTAGTAAAAATGTTTACTAATTTGAATTAGTGACTCACTTTTTAGTTCAGAATTAATAAAATTTTACTAATTTTAAAACAAAAAGTGAGTCACTAATTTAAATTAGTAAACATTTTTACTAATTCAGATTCAGAGACTTATAAATAAATAAACAAAGCATTTTTCTACCGCTGATTTGTCAAAGAATTGATATAAAATTATATAAATATGAATTTAATTAAATACAAAGTTTTACAATATACAATTTAAACGATAAATAAGCAAGCTTACAGAGCATGTAAAAATTAAGTAGTAATTATTAATTTATTATTAATTAATGAATATCTAAATTTTTAATGAATTATAGAACAACTTACGCGCCTATTAAAAGAGGAAGAAAGCATGATGTCCCGATTTTTACAAGGAAAAACCGTAAGAAATTACTCGCAAGTTAAAGATGTTTTCCAAGTAAAAGAAATTAGGGAAATTGACTTGAAGGTCATAGATCACTCTGCAACCTTAAAGCAACTCGGAAAATATTATGAAAAGTTTGCGGTATCTCCAAAAGGTATTTTTATCTTTTTATGTCTCTTCATCTTGTTTTTATAGATGTTAAGGAGGCAAAAGTGGTTACAATACATAAAAAAGATCTTTTTCAGAAATTGTTATAGTGGAAACGATTGAGGTTTTTATAGCACATATTTTTTATCTTGAAACAAATGTACTAAACTTAACTTTACTTAATTTCATTAATTGTATAAAATTGCATTTAAAATTTATATTAAAATATTTTTAATGCTTGATTACAATTTTGTATACTAAATAATAAATATAAGAATCGCAAATTTTAAAGTCTTGTATCAGAGTAAAGTATTTTATAGTATAAATTGTTTAAAAAGATAAATTAAACTTACAGTGCCAGTGGGAAGTAAAGTATTAATTTTCTGAATCTTTTTATTTAAACATTTCATCAGAGTCATAAAATTATTTATTGTAAATGTAAAATTGTCATATTTAAAAATTAAAATTAATTTTAAAAAATCAAAAATAATAAGGTTAAAATATTTAAAGTCTTCATAAAATTCTGTCTTACTTCCAAGGGCAGTTGTAAAACCCAGATATGTTTAAAAATTATGAAAATGATTTCATTTATATTAGATATAGGTTAATTTATATGTTGCATTCTAAAGTATAGATTTTATATCTTTTTATACACAGTTTCTAAATAAAACATTATATTTTAGACGAAAATAGACAGATGCACAATATTGATGCCCATAAAGTGAAGGAAATTCATGCAAATCCAGTAAAAGAGGAATTATTAGACGGTAATAAAATGAATTATTATTTTATACTTTCTCACAATACGCTTGGAGCTATAACAGATGTCACGAAAATGCAGGAAAAACAGTTTGTGTATCATATTTTGCAAATATTTACAGGTTTAAATTACGTTTTAAGTTAAATTCTATGAGTTCCCGTTTTTTGAAAAATCATTAAAAAATTAATTTTTTATCACGTTAAAATTAATAAAATAATCAGTATACTTAATTTTTAACACTTCTAACGATGTCAAATAAAAATTTTTGTAATGTCTCTGATTTGAAATTGTAAAAAAGATGTGAAACGTACAACTTTTCTTATTGTTTATGCTTTATTTATTTTTAATCTGTCGTTAAAATTCAAAATCGTATAGTACAATATTAACAGTTCATTCTTAAAAATGTTGAAAAAAATTGTGTGACAATATATGTTATAAATAAATTTATTGAGTATTATTTTAATTAACTAAACAATATAATAAAGAAAATTTTCCATAAATTTATCGAAAATAAACAGTATTTCTTTAAAAATAAATTTAAAACCTATAAATATTTACAAAACATACTACACAAACCATTTTTAATTGAATATTTTAACATCTAGATATTGCTATGAAAATTATTCAATTTTTATCAGTGCGTCACGATAATAAATAGATGAGCTTCCTATATTTTTTTAAATTACGCTATAAAATTAAAAACTCAATGAGCAATACTTTTAACTTTTAAAATTTTATGTTTTCCCTCCAAAAAAGTGTTGAATTTATTCCCAAATTAATGTCATTAATTAAGTAAAAACTAGCTTGTTAAATAAATGCTGTCTAAATAATAATTCCAATTTAATAATATAGAGGAATTGAACGAGACTGGCGTTGCAATTGAAGTTTTTGATAGTGAAGTTCAATGCGTAGGAATGGAATTGGAAGAGACTCCAAAGATTATCGAAACTTCAGTTCCAACAGGGACAGTGAAACGAGGAAGAGGAAGACCAAGAGGGAGTAAGAACAAAATTGTATCGGAAAAAAAGGATGACAAAGGAACAGGAAAAGAGAAAGAAAATGCAAGAGGAAGAGCAAGAGGGAGAGGAAGAGGAAGAGGTGGTAGGGGAGGAGTAGTAAGAAAAACTGAAATCGAGAAAGAAAAAAGTACAGTTAAAAAATATATTATTGTCGTGATCCAATCTATTTCATTTTAATATTTCTCAAATTTTTTAATTTTTTGAGTATTATTATTTTTAACCCACTATTTACAGTCAAAGCTTACTATATTTTAAACTAAAATTTAACTAATTATTTAATTTATCCTTAAAGGTAGAAATTCTTCGTCCTCCTCCTCCTCATCATCATCATCATTATAAAGAAACAAATGAGCAAATAATAATGTGTTTTATCATTGAAATTTAAATTTTTTAAATCTTTATTACTTAAATTAATTAAGTCTATTCATTTGTTGTACTTATTCATTTGAATTTATAACATCTTATTAATAAAATTATTACCTCCTATCTAGATTAAACTTAATAAGGACGTAAAAGATTAAAGAACTAAAATTATTTTCTAATTTATTATATTCTATTCTACTCAAACAAATGGGCAGATTTGTCAATGTTGACAAATGATATTCTTTTTTTAGACTACACGTACAAATATATACAAAGTTTGGTATTTACTTACCGTAAAATAAATTGATTTCGAAATGGCTCAGCATTTTATAATCAGTTTCTTCAATTTGTAATATAAAACACCCACAATTTCACATATACAATACTAATAGCAATAAGTATTGTATACAAAAGGAATTCAATTTTAAACACATTAATGTCACTTTTATAAAAAAAATTCTCGTATAAAACGTCAAAATGACACCTGGTGCAACGGTTAGGATGCCAGGTTGACGTAACTACCTTAAAATGTTTTGATTTGCTCTGTTTCTTACTATTAAACTCGAAATTCCCGTAGAAGATGTCAAATTGACACCTAGTGCAACGGTTAGGGTGTCAGGTTGACGTAACTACCCTAAAATGTCTTGATTTACCTTGTTTCTTACTTTTAAACTCGAAATTCCCGTAGAAGATGTCAAATTGACACCTAGTGCAACGGTTAGGGTGTCAGGTTGACGTAACTATCTTAAAATGTCTTGATTTACTTTGTTTCTTACTTTTAAACTCGAAATTCCCGTAGAAGATGTCAAATTGACACCTAGTGCAACGGCTAGGGTGCCAGGTTGACGTGACTACCTTAAAATGTTTTGATTTGCTCTGGTTCTTACTATTTAACTCGAAATTCCCGTAGAAGATGTCAAATTGACACCTGGTGCTACGCTTTGTGTGTCAGGTAGACGTAACTACCTTTCAAAATTTTAATTTAACATGTTTGCAATACAAGAATTTATTAATGTCTTTGGCACATTAGAAATTTAAAAAAAAAATTAAAATACGAATTTAAATTAATTAAAAGTAAACTATTGCTTCATTATTTATTAAAATATATTCTGAAAGAAAACTCTAGTTTCTAATAAATTTAATAAATTTATTATATTAATTAAAAAACTTATTTTATGTTCAATAAAAGAATTAAATTCTAATTGTTCAATAAAAATTTGGGAGAATGTCCTGTTCTCATTAAAATATTATGTTATAAATGTTAAATATTATGTTAAATATTATATTAAATATTATGTTAGATATTATTCATGCTAATTTGAAGGATAAAATAAAATGAAATAAGAGTAAATTTAATTACCTTTAAAGGAGTGTTAGAAGTAACATTGACGGCTGGAACGTATTACAAAATGAGATCACACAATAAATAATGTAATTTCGTTCGATCCCATTATCAGAGTATCGTTAAAATCTCAAATGCATATTTCCTTGATCATAAATGCAAGTGTATCCCTCCATTCCGATAGATCAATATTTAATTTAGTGATTTGCGTTTGAAATACTATTTTAGAGCTCAAAATTTTTCTCAACAAATAATGCTGTAAGACTGTTTCTGAAAACATTAAATCATTAATTTAATTTAAAATCCTAATTGCCATCCAAAACATTAAAATTATATTTTTCAATTAGTTATTAAAAATAATGTTAACACAAAAAATAAGTAAAAAATTTTATTCATATTTGAAGCAATTTAACTATTTAATTCTAATGAATTTTAATTAACCTTATTTTTCATTATTATTAATTTATATTAAAAAAAATTACCTGATTTGATAGTTTTTAATGTGACATATTTGGTTATAAAAAAATTAAAACTTCAACTTAAGTTTTTAAATTAAAGCAGAATAATTGTAGAGGAAGAAAATATTGGAAAAAATTGAAAAATATTTTTAAACATATAAAAATATTGGGATAATATGTTAAAACAAACAACAAAATTGAGCAGAAGTTAGCAGTAATAATCATAAAGTTTTTTGAAATCGAAATGGTGTAATGATCATTAAGAGGTCATTTACATAAAAAAGGCGTATGTTGTGCAGTTAATCATTAAGAATATAAATGCTTCCAGTAAAATCAATTAAAAAATATAATAATATACAAATTTACAAAATGAAAATTATGTTCCATATCCAAAAAATATGTTGTATTCTAATAAGACAATATTTTTGGTTAAAATGAAAATAAAATTTTTATTTTCAGGGTTATATATTGTACTATAATTTTTTATAATAAAGTACAAAACAGAAAATAAAAGTATTTGAAAAACAAAGTTTTACCTTTAGGAACGGTTCAATTTTTGCTTTTCCTGATTCGGACGGCTAATATCGCATATTTTGCTAAAAATTCTAAATTTGGATTCACATAGTAGAATTGATTAACGGTACTGAAATTCCATTTTTTCCACCGCTTAAATAATGTCTCTTGACATTAATAACTTTATCCGCCTAGATAATTTTGTCTTTCTCCTTAAGAGCCAAATTATTCGATAAATCAATAATTAATTAATTAATTAATAATAAGAATCACTTCGAAACAGATCCAGTATCATTGACAATAAACCTGCAAAATCGGAAAAAATTAACAAGCTATTTGTACATTTTTCTTCCAGTAGAAACACAAATTTTTTCTTATCAAGATCAAATCATTTTATTCATCGTTAATAAAATTTTAATTTATTTCTTGCATATAGTCTCCAGAAATTAAAAAATTTTTTAGAATAACAATGTTGTCAATAAAATTTGCAAAAATTTAGGATTTTTTTAATTCCTGAAAATCATTATCGCATATATTGTACAATTAAATATAAAAGCCTCGGATCGACTTTAAAGAGAAAAAGCTCGTGTTTGTCGCATTAAATAATAGAAGAATCCGAAGACTTGACTTTTTAAATTTGTTACAAATATAATTATTCATACATTTTTTATTAACAATTATTATTTTTAAAATGTGGCAAAAATTACTTTCATACAAAAAACCTGTAATTCCTTGAAAAAAATTTACAAAAAATGTTAAAATAAAATTCAAGGTTATATTTTGAAATTCCATGACATTTCCAAGTTTTCCAGACCTTCTTCAAAAATTAATGATTTTTTTAGGTTTTCCACGTTTTGTAGTAACCCTACTGTTTTATTTAATTTGATTGCGTTTTTTTAATTTTTTTAATTAAAATAAAATTTTAAATACCTTTTTAGATGTTCTGTTTGTCTGGGCCTTTTTTTAAAATTTTCATTTGTTAGTTTAGCATACTTTTTGATTGTCCCTCAAAAAACATGAAATTGGCATAGATCAAGTCCTCTTTGGAAATTTGAGCATTTTCTTTTCTACCTTCTTTCTTTCGGACATAAGTACTTATTTTTCTCAAAAAATTAGAAATATTATAAACTTATTTTTTCTGAAAATTTTTTAAAAGTAATTAATAACATGTAGTCATTTCTTATTTCTTTAATTAAAAATATAAAGTATAAAAATGAATTTCAGCTTATTATTAGTAATATTTTAAAGAAGTACAAAAAATACATATTCATTCACTTAGTTTATATGATTTTTTAATTAAGTAACATAGCTTTTTATAAAAATATAAATTATGTATTTAAACATAGTAGCTGTAATAATGAAATAATAAATATTTACTTATATGTTAACTTACCACATATTTCGCAGCTAGAATATTTTTAGGAATAGTATCATATTAAACATTGTGTTGCAAAGGAAGCAATGACATCCCTTTACTAGATGGGATTCTCCAAACTTTAGATAAGACATTTGTTAATGGAACTGAGAATTCAGCTTCCTCGGAAAGAATGCCTTTATAAATATTGATACATCTGGAATCCGGATTATCATACAGTTGAGAAATACAATTTATTTTTTTTATTATTAGTCGTATTTCGTTGTTGCAATCGATAATGTTCAGAACTTGACCGAATACACCATTTTTTAATAAGACACAACTATTTTTCGGCTCGTTGCAGTTCAATTTAAATGTTTCTTTTTCCAAGATTTTATACTGCTTCTGAATCATGGCACAATCTCCATCTAGTGGTCCCGAATTATGAGGATGATTTAAAGTTAATGTTTGCTTCATTTTCGTGTCCTTTAAATAAGATTCGCGTTCGGAATATCTGCGCACAATTTGTTCCAAAGGGTGAAATCCTTTTCTTATCCATCTTTTAATTGAAGATAAATAGTTTTCATATTTAAAGGAACTAAATTTGTTCAAACGACCGAACCGTTTAACATCATTGCACAAGTGCAACAAATTGTGGATATTATGAGATGCGTATTTTTTCCCATAAATTGTTTCGAAGTCTTCGACAAATCGCACTAGCAAATCATGACAAACATCTATGTTCCTGGGTATTTCTAAGTGAATGTCACTCACCAATACTGATATTGCAGTATGTAAAATCATGAAATGGTCATAAATATCTTGTCTAATACCTTTTAAAACTATTGGCGCTGCATAAAGGAGAAACGTACGGAACTCTGTTGCTTTCCAATGTGTGTAATTCCATAGGGAACGAGGTCTTCTTACGAATTCACAGGGTGCGCTGTATCGAAGAGCATTTAATTTTTTGGAAATTTTATTTATTTCATGCCTTCGTAATTTAATTCTGTACGGACCTTTTACCCACAATTGAATTATTTTCTTTACAACACCTAATAAAACAAGATGCATGTAATCTAAAGGAACTCCCGATATACAACCGAAATTCGGAATTAATTTTAAAATTGTCTCCTTTCCATTTTCTATATCATTGTAGTAATTTCGGTTGAATCCATCATCTGTTTTTAATTTTAATCGTTTGGGCACGGGAAAACAAACTGTTCCTTTTTTTTTCTTTTTCCCCACATTTCGTGAAATATAAATTCCGCCAATTTCACATTTGGAAAAACTGTTATATCCTGTGTGTCCCTTCAAGTAGAATGCAAAAGATTTCGCTGGAGCATCGCATATAATATTTTCACAAGATACTGTAACATTTAAATCTGGCAAACCATTTTGACACAAAGAAATCAATTCATCTACAAATTCTTTCATGAATTCATTTGCGTCATCAGGTTTGCTTTTGCCACAGAATGCCCCAACCGGATAAACTGAATTACTATTTACTTCGGAGCAAAGAATGAGCCAGAAACTGTCTGTACCTGATTTTGAAATAGGTAAACCATCAATGTTAAATGATAACTTTACATCTTGAACTCTTTTGCCTTCCATCTGACATTCTTTTACAATATTTCTTACCGCTCTTTCAACACCAAAATGGTGATATGTACCACCGCCAATTTCAGAAATTCTTACGCTTCTTATTGTCCCTAAAAACGTCCTAGCATCTAACGGCAAAGAGCAGTTAACATGTGGTCTCAAAATCAAGAGTAATGCAGTTAGTGCAACAAGAGTTATATGGAACTTTAAAGCCCAATTTCTTAAAGTTGCGAGAAATAAATATTCTGTTACTTTATTACTGTCAATATAATTTTCTTCGTCTTCGTCTTCGTCTGATGTCTTATCGAAATCTTCGCTGTCACTCATGTAAGAGTTTTCGGAGCCACTACTAGTTTCTGTATCAATTACGTCGTTTTCAGTTGGAAAATATTCATTGCAATTTACACTGTAAAGAGAAAAGGGAAATATATCCTTTGAATACGAGGGAAATAAATATTTTCAAGAATAAGTTAGTTTGATCAATTCACGCCCAAGGATAGACTAGTGGAAAGAGAGTCACATAATTTTTCACGACAATTAAGTTGACATAACTTTCATATTGCCAATGAAAAAGACATAAAAAAATTTTCTCAATAAGATTAACAATCAGGATGTCCAGCGAAACTTAAGAAAATATTTTTGACTTTCCCCGTTTCTACCTGAAAATTCTCTTATCTGCTTCACTTTCTTGTAACAAATGTTTAATATTAAAGAGAGGTGTTGTAATATTAAAGAATTTGTAAGATAATAAGAAACGTTTTATTTGTTACTATTAATATAAATTTGTCAGATTCGAACCAAAACATTCACTTAAATTACAATACTGTTTAATACTTGAAAATAGTAAAAATAAAATAAACTATCTATCATTATAACCCTTCTCTTTTTGGAATAAAAGTTTTATAGATACTTTGAAAAAATACTCTTAATTATTTTAAAATAATTGATACAATAATTTATCATTATAAACTTTTTTTTAACATCTACTGACTTCGACTTATCTAAAGACAGATTTAATTCATATAAATTATACTAACTTCTTGAAATGTGGTGGTAACAAATAGTAATGAAAAAAATTTTTAAATTCATAAATAAAATTATATATATTTTCAAAAATTTAATATTTCTAACAAAAAAGAAGTATATTGTAAAATGATTAAAACTTACTTTATTCATTTCTCCTAGTGTACTACGATTTCAGATTGTAAAAAAATATTAAAAGAAAATTAACACACCCCTATATACGGGTCAAATTTGATTGACTTAAATTTTACTGAATTTTGAATTATTGAATTTAAAGTTGAATTTAAAATTTCAACTTCTTTCATATTTTTTATTATTTTTGATTCACATTTTTTTATAAGTTTTTTTTATGATTGTAGACAATTATTTGTATTGATTTTAAAACATTTTATTTTTTCAAAAAAAAAAATTTTGAAAAAGGTCAAACATATATAATTTTTAATGTTAATAATATACAATAAATTTATATCCTAAATAATGCAAGAAAAAAGTTCACGCTCTTATACAACGTAAACGTCAAAGGGTTGAAATTTCACAGATACATCCCCTTAAAAAAGTTCCCCGACTTTTTATTGTTTAAAATATTTCCCTGATTTTACTCTAACATCTCTAAATTCCCTGAATGCTGGACATCCTGACAATTCAATATTGTTACAAATAAAATAAATATCAGCCTATAATAAATGTATTTCAAAATTTAGTAAAAAGGCGCATGTTAGCTAAAATATAGAAGAGATAATTTTACGTCTTTTAAAGAGTAACAACTTTTATGTAAAAATTTATTTAGTTGCCTTATATTAAATGCCCTCACATTTATTTGTTTTCTTTTTATTACCTGCAGTTGTCACCTTGTTCCAAATCTTCTGCTCTATCCTCATCATTTATATTATTTTCATTACCATCTTCAGTCTCTTGGTTGAAATCGTCAATAATTCTTGTTAAAGCAATAAATAAATAAATCATATTTAATTAAAAGAAATATTTTAATCATTAGAAATTTTATTAATTAAAAAGTTTTAGTTTATAAATAAAACAAATATACGAATTATTTACAATAATGTCAAACGATTTAATTTCGGCTGATGTAATTTCTACTATTTGAAAAATTGTGCCAGTTTAGAAAAATATTTTTGCATGCTGAAAGGTAGCAAAATGCTCTTTCGTTTGTGAACGAAAAATAACATTTCATACAAATAAATATTTTTAACATTACGAAAAGACGAGATTTTATATATTGACAGACAACACAAGAAAATTAAAAAAAAATAATCTTAATTAATTCTGTAAATATAAAAAAATGGATTTAAATTTATTTTGAACGACTTAATTTAAGTTTCGTAATGAATTAAATTAATTAAAAGTAGAAAATTTATTTAACTTTGTACATGAAATGTCCAAAGTCTGTTATATTTAACAATTTTTTTCTACAAAGTATTTCTTTATTTTTCTATATCAAAACTATGTTAATGGTCAATATTTACTTTAAGCTTTTATTAATTTTCCGCTGTTTAAAATTAGTTATATTTGTGTATGCATTGGCTTTTAATAAATTTTAATTTTTTCAAATTTGTATTTATCATGTACTTTTGTCTACATATTTAGTTTATGCGAGGATTGAGAGTTATATTTCAATGTGTTTCAAAATAGCAAGTTTCTGATTTTTTGACTTTTTCTAATCCTTTTAACTTTTTTCGATTTACTCATGGTTTTATACTTTGTAAATTTCTCACTAATGAATTAATTGCAATTTTCAAAAAATTTTTAATTTTTGAAAATTATTAATTTTTATATTTGAAGAGTGATTGAAATAAGTTGCTTAAATTTATAGACCAGAAAAAATTTTTGGTTCAACTTATTAACAATTTCATTTTCTACTATTTTTAAGTAAACAAAAGATTTTCAGGATAAACTTGACAAATTTAAACATTAAAAAAATTATCCTTTATGTCTTGGTGTTAAGTATGTGAATGAAAATAATTTTTGTTGTAAAAAATTTTTAGTTTTAATAATTCAAAAAAAAAAAAATTTTCATGTTACTATTAACAGTCAGACAATTGTGTTATACGCATCCTATTATAAAAATTTAAAAATTGTTATACATTCCACGTACAAAATTTTCAGTATAAAAGCGTTAAAACAACTTATTGTTCATTGAATATAAGTTAATCAACAATAAATATTTCTTTATGTAATTTCTTAATGCAATATTTATTATTTATTGCAAACAATAATTAAGTTCAGTAAAAAAAAGGACATAGAGAAATAGCTACATTACCCGGTTTCGTGGATTTCATAATAATTAATTATTACTAAAAATAGTTAAGATAATTACAAAACAGAATTTCAAACTGTTTAAGTGAAATATTAAATTACAATATAGTAATGTAATTAAAAAAAAAGCTCAACTCTAAATTCTTATGTTTAAGTCGGACGGACGGACGGACGAACGCCCCAGTAAAACTATAAGAGTTTTGCCCTTGGCCACGAAACCGTAAAAAGAAATAATCTCAAGATGAGAAGAAATTGCCACAAGTCATAATTACTTTTACATTTTACTTCTGATATAAAAATATTGATCTTACAGAGGAATTTTTGTTTCTATTTGACAATATTTTGATTAAAAAAAACTTTCAATTTTTCATCTTCGATTGAAATTTTTCTTTTGCAGTTTAAATTTTTTGTTTTATATTGAAATTATTTCTTTCAAATGAAATACAAATTTAATTAAATTGTGCAAAGTGACATTTGACGCTCTATTATATTTTATTATAATAACATTTAAAAATATAAATTATTAAAATCAAATTAAAATTGAAAATATAAGTGATAAAACAACTTACATTCCTCGTTAAACAATGGCGGGAAAATATTGACATTAATATCGAAGTGTAAAATATCTTGTGCAAATGATATTAAAAAAATATAATTATCTTACTTCATAAAATTTTCGTATTCTACATAAATTTTTTAATTTTCTGCTTATATAAAAGCTCCCAGAAACTAAACTCTTCAATGGAAATATGATTTTCCCCCCTCTAATGGAATATATATTTGAACTAAACAAATGTTTGTTTTATTTTTATAAATTTTACTAACGAAAAAAGAATTTCATTAAATCAAACATACCTTGGGCTAATACAACCAAATCTTTGGTTGCCGGAAAAAAAATTTTTTAAGTGTATTGAAAATAAAAATAATTTAAAACAAAAATCATTTTTCTACACAACTTTTAAAGACATAAATTTTTTTTATTGAAAATGGTTGTTAAAATCTTGTTAAAATTTTATTATTTTAAATTTAATGAGAATTTGATTTTAAAAAATCTACTATCTTTAGTGTTTTGATGTCACCATCTTAATTCAAAGTCTGAATTAGCAAAAATTATAAAAATCAAATTATAAACATTTGTAACAAAAAATCTAGAAATTCTTTTGAAAATCGAAAATGCTTACCCATCACTGCTATTATCAGTATCGCCCTCGCTGCTCCTCGCGTCCTCACTGCTTCTCACTTTCTCATTATCAGGCTGGTTTGTCTCCGTTTTTTTTTCTTTTGAATCATGTTTATCAATTTCCTCCTTTACTTTCTTTTTAATAATCCGACGGAAATGTCTATTTGAAAAGCCACACGTGCGTGGGGTTTTGTAGACTTTGTTAGTCTTCATTTCTACCACTGTACAAAAATTGGGAATAATGTTATAATTTTTGTTTGGTATTATTTAATATTTTTTTGTTTCTTAGACCATTTTGTACATGTTCCAAAAAATGTATTATGGTAATAGGCCTTTATTTAATATAATAATAGGCATTATTTTAAATGTTAAATTTTAATATTAAATCTTTTAGCTGCATAGTTATTTTGATTATAAAAATAGTGGCCATTCTTAATGATTAAGTAATGTGTCGAATTTAAAGTTAAAAAAACAGACAAAAAGATAATATATTTTTAAAAAATTAAAAATCGTATAAAATTATAAGTTTTGAATGAAAATTTGCGGTAGAGTCCACTATAGACCAATTTATTTAAGATGCCATGTTTCAGTCGTTGATGCTTTCATTATGGTTATGCTAATCATTGGCATCTTACTTATTCAAATTTATAAATTTTATCAATTAATTTCATAATTTTTACTAAAATCTGATTTCAAGAAGATTAAAGAACAATAATATAAAAGACTTAATAATAATATAAAAATATTAGCATTTTCAAAGAAATGTGATATTTTCTCTAAACAAGAATATTATATTGAAATAAATTTTACCTAACCTCAACAATTTTGGTCTGACGTTACAAATTGTGAAAGTTGAAAACGACTGATACAGTGCCAAAAATTAGAGCACTTACCTTCAGAGAAAAGAATAAAATCCAAGTTATTGTAAATAATTGTTCCTATTAAGTAATAGAAAACACAATCACTCAGAAGAAATCACAAATATTATTTCTCTATTAATTCCGGATAAATAGCACGTGTCTCTGAGTGACCTGTTGATACGAAATCGACACTTTTTCCAGTGCATCATTCACAGTGCGCATGCTCACTGTATTATTAACCGGATGAAAAAATGAAATACATTATACATAAACAAAGATATAAAACATAATTGTTTAAATTAAAATAAAATTTAACTAAAAATAGTTTATAATAATTATTACCTTGTTTAAAATAATTATCTAACTTTGTAAAATAATAGTCATTTCCGCTTCGCATTTTCCCGTTTCCGTTTATAAATCATAGAAATTTCTAGAAAAATTATCAATTCCGCTTAGCTTTTCCGGTATTTAAAAAGTACAGAAATTATTACGATTTTCTCCAATCAAATATGACTTTTTACATTATTGACATGAAGAAAAAATCAGTTTCTAACTATAATGTGATATTCTCCACAAGAGATTACTTTTTAATTCGATAAGAATCAATTTTGGTAATCTGTTAGTCTGCCCATTTAATGGAGCCCTTAGTATTTATATCACGTGGTGCCATACGTCATGCGCTATCAAGTACCGGTGGATTGTGGGATTCATTATACATGTTGCTGCCCTACTGAAAATCCCTGTATAAGATCTTGTACAACTTCCTGTACAGGATCAACAACTGAACTTGTACAAGTTCTGACCAGTTCCTGTACAGGAAAATGCATACGAATTTGGAACAAGTTCATGTGTGAGATCTTGTACAAGATCTGGTGCAAGATCTTGTACAAGAAAGATGCTTGTACAAGAAAATGTTCATGTACAATTTCATGTATAAGTACTTGTACATGAACACGTCCATGTTCTTGCACATGTTAATTCATGTTTTTCTTTACTAAAAATTAAAAACTTCAAAGGCTGCGCAATAGTTTACTTTAACCTTTACAGCTGCGCAATAGTTTTTAGCATGCATGAGTTACGAATCTTAGTGGTTAAAAATTATCAAAATCTCAAATTTTATTAAAAAAAAAAATTTTACAACTATTTCATGTGCAAGAACATGAACGTGTTCATGTACAAGTACTTATACATAAAATTGTACAAGATCATGTACATTTTCTTGTACAAGTATCTTTCTTGTACAAGATCTTGCACCAGATCTTGTACAAGATCTCACACATGAACTTGTTCCAAATTCGTATGCATTTTCCTGTACAGGAACTGGTCAGAACTTGTACAAGTTCAGTTGCTGATCCTGTACAGGAAGTTGTACAAGATCTTATACAGGGATTTTCAGTAGAGTGTGCTGCCTCGTGTTCACATCGTGCTCGTGTTAATATCATTTTAATATTGTGCTGCCTCGTGTTCAAATCGAGTCGTGTTGGTGTCATAATAATATTGTGCTGCTTTATTTTCTATAAACAAATTAAACAAAAAAATGGACGAAGAGGACTACGCTATTGTCAGCTTTGAAGACGGCATGGGAATCGTCTGTTCCACGTGGTTGGTTTACGAGGAGGGATTATTAGTCGGAAGTTTGTACCCTTCAAATATTTCTGCCAAGGAATTGGTGAAAATTTTATTAGCTAAACGACCACTAGATATGGAAAACAGTGCATTCTATAAAATAATAGAGTTTCACCGATTCGCAGGTAATTTAAAAAATTTTTAAATAGGATTAACGATTCAGTTGTTAGCACTGTTAACATTTCTTAACACCAATAGAATTTATTTTAAAAAATTTATTTACAAGGTACAACAAAATTGTATGTCTTTTTTTTAACTTATATTAATCGATTACTGTTTTCATTAAACATAACTGTACATGTTACAGCGAATTATGAATCAGCAAACAAAAAGCTGCAATTGTTTGAAATAATGACTGATTACGAAAGTGACGAAATAAAAACTGCAGATAAATTAAAAAAAACGCGACATTCAAGGGCGATAAAAATAGAAAAAGATTTTGAATTGGGAAATACGTCGATAAAAAGAAAACCTTTAGGTAAGTTATTTTTATAGAGAGGATTCTTATTTTTTTGATTTCATTTTTTAATATATTAGCCATTACATTATTATTTTATATTGCAGCTCCCATTGAAAATGGAATTAAATCAAAAATGATGGCCATTGAAAAGCCATCAGGAGAGATTGAACCACCCGAAATCGTTGCATCCGAAGTGGAAATAAAACGAATAGAAGCCGAGGGACAACCATTGCAAGATCCAGAAGAACAACAACTTCAAACAGAACCAGCGGAAGAGACTGTACAGAAGGTGAAAGAACCTGAAGTAAGAGCCGATAAACAAACAGTCCATAAAAAAACGCAAGAGATTCCAAATGGTAAGGAAACAATTTTTAAAATACTTAAATTAAAAAAAAATTTTTCAATACAATTAAAAGTTAAAATAGATGTTGCTCATATTATTTTAAAAGGACGCATGAATATTTTCTAAAACAAATTTGTTAGAAATATTATTTAATATACTTTTATTTCTCACAATAATAATTAAACAAAAATTTTAAATAATATAATTTTAAATTTACCGAAATTCAATTTGATAAAATATTAAATTCACAAAAATTAAAATTAATAAAATTTATTTGACAAAGTCAATTTTATCAAACATTAATTTTGCTGAAAAGTAACTGACAAAATTAAAACTTTTCTGAAATTGCAACTGATCAAAAATCATACAGGGTGACCGCTGGACCGGGAAACCTGGAAAACAGGGAAATGACCGGGAATTTTTTTCATGACCGGGAATTTTGAAATTTTTTTATTAAAAAGTGTTTTTGTGAGAAAAAAATAGAAATATTTATTTTAAAATTTATTAATTATATTTCATTTTAAAAAAAATGTTCTTCTATAAAAACTGTTTATGCAGGCCTCCGATTGCACGACTTTTTCGACTTTTCTTAGAAAATACGACTTTTCTCGACTTATTTTATTTAATATAAAAATTTTAATCAATCAAATTTTAATTCTATTTATATTTCAATTTAATGTTAAACTGATTTTAAGTTTCTATTATTACAAATTTTTATAAGTAAAAATTAATTTATAAATATAAATTTTGAACAATTTTCAATTTCATATATTTAAATGTTAAATTCTTTCAATTTCAAGTGATTCTAATTATAATGAAATTTAAATGTCATTATTTTCTCATTAGAAAATAAAATTATTATCAATAGATTTCAATTTGTCTAAAGATTTATATATTAAAACCTCTCAGATTTACTAAATTTTTAAATAAATAAGTTTATACTATTATTTGAAAAAATGTCGATTAAAATTTAAATTGATACAAATTGGTTTATTAGGATTTTAATTTGTCTTATATTTCATTTTTTGTTTACATTCTTGTCTGATATTTTCGAAAAATAATTCAGATTTTCATTTATTTTCTAGAAGAAAAGATTTATTTTTAGAATAATGTTTTTTCAATTGTTATGATTTTTTAAAGGTAAAATTGATACTGGAATGATTTTTAAAAAATTATGTACGCTCGAGCAAAAATTAAATCATCTATCGAATGATGGGAAGGAAAGGCTTAACGCATTTGGAGATGGCGATTTGAAAATGTTCCCAATCAAAACGGTCAAGGAAATGACTTCCGTGGAGGGTTTACTAGAGTCCTCCCGATTCATAAAGAAAGTGGTAATGTTTTAATTCTATTATTACAATCTGTGATTTTACGTATAAAATAATTGTCTTTCGAAATAGCAAACAGTAATAAAAAAATATAAATTGGTTTTAGATTTCATCATTTATGTCCCTTGGAAAGTGCTCTAACCTGAACAAAACTGTTGCTAATGTACTTAACCATTTGATCACTTTTGAAGTTGGGACCAAGTATACTTTTAAAGGTCAAAGTGCCAATAAGAAGCCAGCTTTTGAAAAATTAAAAATTTGTGCAGTTATTATCAGTAAGTACTGCCTCAAATAATCTACAATTTTCTCTAAAAATAAATTAAAATAATATGATTAAAATGTAATGATAAATAATAATGAAATAATAGTAATAAAACAATTAATAGTCTAATAAATAAAGTATAATGTAATATTAATAAAATAAATAAAATCATAATCAATTGAAAATTAATCAAATATTTGTAATATTTAGGAGCTCTTGTGAACACGGGAGAGACTCAGGAGTCAATAAAGAAAGGGATCCAAGACTGGCTCCATCATGCGAAACAAAACGCCCAACGTTTGAAGTTAGTTTATTGCTACTGCATTAAAAAAAATATAAATTATGTTCTTTGCCTATTTTCACTTCATGTATTAAAATTGAAATAAAAATAATTTTTTAACATTTCAGAGCCCTTCAAGAAAAACGCCGTGCAAATGAAATTTTAGCTGCAGTCGAAAGTGATGTATCTTCTAATGAAGAATAAAAAATGAAATATAAGGTAAGAAAAATTTTGAAAAATTTTTCAGCATGTTGACTAATGGGGAAAATCGGAAATCAGCCGGGAATTTTAATATAATATTTGAAATAAGTTTCACTGTATTAAATTACTTTTAAAAAATTATCTTTTATTTGAATTTTCGTTCGCTAAAATAATAAAAATAAATAATCTATTTACATATTCATATAAATAGATTTATCCTAGCATAGATAGGGAATTTCGAAAGTTTAATTTAAAAATTTAATTTAAAAAAATTTAAGGCATTTCTTAAATATAAATTGGGCTTTGTTTCTCCTTTAATAATACAAAAGGTTAGTGATTAGTAATTAATTTATATTTTCAACTTTTAAATAACAAAGCAATAAATAACAACTATAAAAAGTAGTAAAAAGATTTTTTTAATTCAAAAACTTTTTTAAAAGTCTTCTCTAATAGCACCGATCATTTCCTCAACGTTGCATTTTCGTTTCCAGAAAGGATAGAAAATCATTTCCAATTCCTTTCCCTACACAGCGCGAAATGGTTTCAATGTCCGCTTGGAGAAATGATCGTTGCATGTAAGTTTAATATCGTGCGCAGTAGTTTTCTTTAAAGTTTAGGCCTAGGCAGTAAATTTATTTGGATTAACCCTAAAAGCTCAATAATATTAATATGCAAAAAATACAATTTTAAAAAAAAATGTATTGTTTATTGAAAAACAAATACTTTTTGTTTAAAGATATTTTTTATAATAAAATATCGTATTATTTGCATAGTAACATTGTCAATGCGTCAAAGTAAGACCAAATAAATTTACTGCCTAGGCCTAAACTTTAAAGAAAACTACTGCGCACGATATTAAACTTACATGCAACGATCATTTCGTCAAGCGGACATTGAAACCATTTCGCGCTGTGTAGGGAAAGGAATTGGAAATGATTTCCTATCCTTTCTGGAAACGAGAATGCAACGTTGAGGAAATGATCGGTGCTATTAGAGTTAGAATAATTTTTATAAATTAACTTGAAATAAATAATTAGTCAAATAAATTCAAATGTAAAAATTTTGAAGAAAAGAAGTATATTTCAATTTCATTAATCACAAAATTTCGAAAATTCTTTTCATTTTAATACTGCAGTAGAAATAAAATTTCTTAAAAATATTTCTATTCTAAACCAAAAATTAATCTTTATTTATTACAAATGCCTGATTTGCTATTGATTCTTCATATAAGACAGTTTAGTTATTAATTATTATTTTAAAATTTATGAGTTGGACATGCTCATAAAATTTTCTAGTCTAAATCTTAAAAATTTGTATAACTTAAAATTTTTTTTCTATTCGTTGATTCTATAATTTAATAAAAATTGGGCTTAGATTAAAAAGTGACTAAATTTTTTGGTGATTTCAATTCAATAATTTTAAAGGAAACTTCCTTTAAATTTTTTAAATAAGTATAAACTTTCCATGATTTGTTTGATTTCAATTTTTTGTTTTAATTTTAAATTTGTTTTAAAAATCTAGAAATGCTAAAAATTTTTCGTAGTTTAATTGAAAAATATTCCTTAAAAGTAATTTAAAAAATTGTAATAATTAACAAATCGACATTTTTTGTAATATCATGTAACTTTTTTGTGCAAATTCGATCTAAGGCTAAAATATTTCCCTGAGTATTTGACAGGGAAAGTCAAAAAAATGTTACAAAAATATCAGGAAATTTTTTGAACTAATTTTAGTGTCTACCATTTCGGAATAAATTTAAATTTCACGAAAATAAATAAACCGGGTAAAATTAGGAAAGAACAGGGAAATAACAGATAATTTTGTCGAAAAAAATTAGTAGAGACTTTGTTTTTAAATCGCATCTTTTGTCAAAAATCTAAGGAAACAAAGCGCATTAAATTACATTCAATTTTTAACTATTTATATAATATAATTATAAAAATGTAACATGTTATTCAAATAAAATTGCTTTGAATTGTTTTTTAGGATATATTTCTCAACCCGAAACAGTTCGCTCAGCAAACGTGAAACGTACGAACTTAAAAAAACTGAGAAATAAAATTACGCCTGCCGAACCACTTGGATGTTAAAAAACATCCAGTTGTCTTCTTTTTTAAGGTGTGTTCGTATTGAAAATAAATTTGAAAGCTATTACTTTGCTTTTATTTTCAAAATAATAAAAATAAGTTTTTTTTAAAACATTTAAAAAATATATGTTTTAAAATATAATAAAAAATTATACGTTTGTTTCAGATTCGTCAAATGGCGTTCCAAAGGTCTAAAGGCGTCATCAGTTTAGTATTTTTTATTTTTCTAAGTTTTAGTTTTTTTTCACTCATATTTTCTAATTCTTTTAATTTGATTCTTTCTTTAAATTTAAATTCTTAAAAAAATAAAAATTAAAACATATGCAGCAGAAAATGGTGAATAAATTTGTTTAAAAAGTTTTAAAAATATTGCTCTCTCATATTTCTTTTCCACATATCCTATCCTTATAATATCCATTTAATTATTTTCTCAGTATATTAGCATTTAAATTGTTTATGCTATAATTAGCAATTTCTCTTCTCAGTAAATTCGCATTTTATATATTTAGAAAATTAGCAATTCAATTTTTCAGCGAATTCACATTTTAACTTTTCAGCGAATTCGCATTTTAACTTTTCAGCGAATTCGCATTTTAACTTCGCAGCGACTTCGCGTTTTAACTTTTTAGTTAATTCGCATTTATGTTTCTCAGCTAGTTCGCATTTCAACTTCTCTGCTAGTTCGCATTGCGAACTCGCCAGGAGGGGGACATTTTGCTATTCGCCACTACTTCGCAGGGAGTTCGCAATGCGAACTAACAAACCTCGCATTGAGAACTCCCTGCGAAATATCGTGCTATCTGGGATGGTTAGTTAACATTGTTTTCCAGGTGTTTTGCGCAGACGAAAAAATATACTTTTTGTTTATCTTCCGCGAGGGATAAATATATACCTCTCGGTAAAAGCAGCCTCGGAGTTTCTCAGTAGATACAGTGATAATGTTCACGTCCAGTTTATTGAAGTATTACCAATTGTAGAACAACTAGCTACTATTGCAGGTAAGTATTTCTATTTATTTTATTTCTGAACCCTAGATCCCCACACATAGTTTTGGAGATCCCAGATAATTTTATGAATTTTTAATATAATCATTCGAATTTTTTTAAACTTTAGCTTAGAAAAAATTGTGTGGGGTATAAAAATACATAATGCGAATTTTTGGAGTTATATAATTTTTTGTCTTCTTTAAAAAGCCAGCTTAAAGAAAACTGTTTGGGGTGTGGCACGCCCTAGTGTGGGGATCTAGGGTTAAATCAAATAGATGAAAAATAAAAAAAAAGATGTATCCCAATAAATTTATTTAAAATTTAAGGTTATTTATTTCAGGAAGAGAAGTTCTACAATAAATTAAGAAATTGAAAGATTATTCAGGACCAATATACTGAGAGAGATATGCTTATTTCGGACAGCAAGTATGCAATTAATATCGCTAACAAATTACAATTCAGGTTTAACTTTTCCTTTAGACTATTTTAAATAACAACTATGACTGACAATCAGTGCCTTTATGTTTTATTAAAAGAAAATTCTTTATTTAATATTTACTGACAGTCATATTTTTATTAAAATAAAAAATCTATCATTTGAATAACTGAAAATCAGTCGCATTTCTTTAAATATCAATCGTATGTTATTGATTCAATTTTAGAGCGTGAGACATCTCAAAGATAATTTCAATGTTTCGATGTTATAAGGGCATCAGATAAAGATTACTAAACTCGGATAGCCTATGGACGCCTTCGATTAAACAATTATGTTTGAAGAATAAAATAAGGTTGGTCAATTTTTATTTGAATAAGTTTTCAAAAAATAAATGGGAAATAATTAGTATTTTATTTCGTAGTATTTATATCTTTACTATGTGTTACGAACTATCGTAACGAAACTATAAATTAAAAGTAAATAAAAAGATAATAAATAATTTTCAAGAATAATTGAAAATTATTTAAGAATAAAATCCCCAAGTCGATGCCACAATGTATATAGGCATGTAATTTGAATCCCCGATAATCGCGCGCGTTGAGTGATACTCCACACATACAGACTTATATTCTCGTTGCTTCTAAAAGTGTATCTATGGCTATGATATTATAATATAACTTTGTTAAACTGTTATATTATAATGTATTATTTTATTCTATCTTATGTTATAATATTCTATATTATTATTTATACTATGTTATATTATGCTATATTATAAATTATATTAATTATCTAACACCAATATTCAAGCTTGAATATTATAAAATATGCATGGAAAATATAATATGGTGTACTTACCTTATATAGAGATACTAAAATATTATTGTTATAAATAAAACAATTATATTTTACTTATTTTCATTAATAATTTGCATTAATTAATTAATTAATAATATGCAAATTATTGTTATTTTATAATTTTTTTTATGATAAATCGTATCATTATTATTATTATTATTAACATGTATTAAAATTAATATTAATTATAAAATTATTAATTATTATTATCATTATAAACAATTGGTTATGTTACTAATATACTACCTTAATTATTAGAATATCATCCTTATCAAATATTATTTCAAGGAATATGCATTGTATATGCACGTATGCGTGTGCATTATTTTTATCGTATGTACGTGTGTGCATAGCATGCCGAGGTACCACGGATAGATATGTGCATACATTGTGTGGGATATTTTTACGCATATTATAATAATTAATATTAATAATTATTATATTGCAATTTTCATATTTAAGAAAAATGTATCATTTTAAGAAGGGAGGAGATTCGCATACGTCAATTCTATCTATCTTTCTCTCTCTTTCTCACGCGTTCAGGTGCAATGAGTCTCGCAGCGTGGATGCGGTACACACAGACACGGACTCCCCACAGCCTTCGTAACGCATATGTGTGAAGCGCTTGAGGAGTATCGCGCGATGCATACACTGCCTTCCTTCCCCTATTCTTTTCCCTATGATACCTTTAAACTCAAAAAAAAAAAAGGAGAAATAAAAATACAATAAATATTGACAGCTGAAATTGGAAATTGTCACATTTTCCAAGCACATATAAACTCGCAACAATTAAGATTTCATTTTTTTTGAGGGTCAATTTTGTAAAAGAACGAATGCACATAGTTAAAAAAAAAAAATATATATATATTGAGACATGTATGAGGTGCATATACGCATGTGTATTAAGGTAAATATACGTGTATATGTGTAAAATGTATATGCATATATATAAAAAGGAAAATAGTTTCATTTTTAATATGAAAACGATAATCTGTGCAGAACTATGACCGCTCTGGAATTCAACAAAGGTTGCGAGTTATACTTTATTAAAAACACACATATACACTTACACATATGGAGATGTGCAGTTCCAATAGTGTCAACAAAGAAAAGAATAACAAGAATCATGGGTTCTGAGAATATCGATGGACGATGATCTAAGTTTTCTTATCGATACCCCTGAAACCCCCAGAATCCTTCTACCCCTGATTCACTAATCCCACTAAGTGCATCTCGCGATGCTCTTTATAAGCAGAAGCTCATAGGGCCTCATTGCCTATTCGTCTTCAGTCAATCACTTAGTACGTGTTACTGATTTTTGCATTATTTCTTTAAAAAGTGAACTTAGAGTTTAAACTGTGGAGAAAGCTCAATAATATACCTGCTGAATCACGATAGATTTTCGTTGAGCCAGGTAAATTAACAGCAGTGCTTAAAATTCTAAAATTAAAATTGCTGAATCACGATAGATTTTCGTTGAGCCAATTTTTAATTTTAAGAATAAGGCCCGTCTGCGAGCTGGCTCCAATTTAAATTCTATTTTCTTTGGGCGGACGTAAAATTAAATCGAACCTTGAACCGGCTGAGTCCCAATCGGTTGATCAGTACAGTGAGAAATTATTTAATAAATTATTTATAATTTATTAAATAATTTTTTGTTCTTAAAACCGGCCAGTCCGTACGGATTGTACCTGCGCCGCTTGTGTCTGATAGGGTACCGGTACCGCGTTTCGAGACGCGGAAATACGCATAACACCTTTCTTTCGTTTTGCCCGTTGATTGTGTGACGAGATCGCGAGAATTCTCCCTTCTCAACAAGCTCTCTCGACGGTAGTGTGTAAGAGAAATCTAGCCGTAAGTAATAAAAAACTGTATCGTTCCAAAAACATTATTCTTTACAAAAGAAAGCATATAATGTGTAATTTTTGCAATTTTTACTTTGATTTTTAATAAATTTTTGTAAACTAAAATTCCAATTGTTCTATTCAATCAAATAGACCTTTTTATTTGTGCTGTCAAAAATAGTGTGGATTTTCATCTCAAAGCTAAGAAACATTATTTACGATCTAAAGATTAAATTGGCAGTTTCGTCTTCTATCGGCGATATAATTAATCGAACCCACATTAAAAATAAACATTATTAAGTTGAATGTTCATTTTGACTTTTTAATGGCAACTTGGTTCCTCCGGCGAATAGAAAATTTTAAATAATTGTTCAAAATTATAAAAATTAATAAATTAATTTTCTCGTTCGTAACAAGTTGATGGTGGCAGCGGTGGGATTCAATTAAAAATAAAATCAGTGGAATTTTTATTTTCAATAATTTGGATTAAATTTAAAAAAAAAAAAAAAAAAAAAAAAATTTCTTTTTTTTATTTTTTTTAAATTTCTAATTAAAGATAAATGCTTTCTCTTTAAAAACTCTGCCTACTCTTTCTACCTTATTTAAACTATTTTCAAGGCAGTGCTTATTGTTTGCACGCCTGACTTCTATACTATTTTAGAAACTAGCAGTGCTTATTGTTTGCACGCTTGTTTCAACTATCTCTACTCTAATATTTCAGGGCAGTGCTTATTGTTTGCACGCCTGACTTCTATACTATTTTAGAAACTAGCAGTGCTTATTGTTTGCACGCTTGTTTCAACTATCTCTACTCTACTATTTTCAAGG